TAAACTGGTCTGAGATAGCGTTTTTTCTAGACCTGCATGACAAATGAGGACTTACTTGTGAGGACCATTCCCATAATGCATTTCGTTGGTCCTCGCAATGTATATTAATAATGGATATGTATGACGTAGCTTGTGTTTCGGGCATTGCCTTGTGTGGGCGTGGTCCCGTTTGCTACGTCACAATAGCCAAGATAGTGGGGGAATTAACTTGGTAGAGCTGATTACTCGGCTATCACCTTTAAAACAGAGAGAAGGCTGCTGAGTCCTTTTACGTCTTTATTCGTGGCAGAGTGAAGTATCTATCTATTCTGATCTGTCAGAAATGTCTTCATCGCGAACGCCTTGGTGTGTGCCCTTAAGATGTATTGTGATGCCTTCGGTACGAGGACCTGGATGTGTTATTAGCGAGGACCAGAGTGTGTATGCCCTAAAGATGTATAGCGATACCTTCAGTACAAGGACCCGAGTGTGTATGCCCTTAAGATGTATTGCGATACCTTCAGTACAAGGACCAGAGTGTGTATGCCCTTAAGATGTATTGCGATACCTTCAGTACAAGGACCAGAGTGTGTATGCCCTTAAGATGTATTGCGATACCTTCAGTACAAGGACCAGAGTGTGTATGCCCTTAAGATGTATTGCGATATCTTCAGTACAAAGACCAGAGTGTGTATGCCCTTAAGATGTATTGCAATGCCTTCAGTACGAGGACTTGGATGTGTGATAAGCGTGGACCTGAGTATGTGTCCTTGCGATGTATGAGAATGCCTTCATCTCGAGGACTTGGATGTGTTATTATAAGAGAGGCAGTGTGTTAGCCCTTGCGATTAATACACCAAAGCCTTCATTGTGAGTACCATGATTACGTGTGCCCTTGCGGTGTATAACAATGCCTTCATAATGAGGATGGATGTTGGATGGATATTTGTTTGTTTAACGCCACACTCAGCAATATTCCAGCTTTGTGTTGGTGGTCTGTAAATAATCAAGTCTGGACCAGACAATTCAGTGATTAATATCATGACATGCATCAACCAAGTCAGCGAGCCTGACCACCCGATCCCATTAGTCGCCTTTTACGACAAGCATAGTCATCTTAATGAGGATGTGTAATAACCTTGGTGTGTGGAATAAGCCTGTCCAGTAATGACCAAATATCTGTAGCATTAACAAGAAATATAGCCATTTAAAATTTAATTGCACTTCTGTCCTCCTATACTTGCATATAACATGTTGGAAAAGTGAAAAGGAAAAGATTACAATGGGGTTAATAATCTAGAGACTGGCCTACCATACGACCTGATAAGACCAACTGCACACTTGCTACATACTTTTTACTTCAAAACTAGACTAATTGCTAAATATAGCTTTATCAATATGGGGTATTGAAATTTGGATCAACATTATTTGAACAGATCATGGTGTCATCCTATACAACTCAAAAAGGATTAAAAGCCACCCGATCCTTTTAAATTACTATCATCAATGTGTCATGGCATAACATGATTAACAAAAGTAATATGAAAAACATCAGGTGGGCCTTCACACTTTCAGTATAGGAGAGGAATATGTACTCACTAAGTTTCACCTTCACAGGTTTAGTGGTTTAAAAGTTGTTTTTAAATCAAATAACAATGGACAAACAATCCATGACATTGGCTCACTTGGGCCAAAAGGTCAAGGTGAGCTCAGAAGTCATCTTATGGAAATGGTTTTCCTTACAAAATCCGTTTTTAACACTATTTTCCTTAAAAAACTTGTTTTTAATATCCATATGCTAAATCATATTCAATATCCCAATCTCATATTTGATAATTGATTGTGATTGATTGTCAAATTCCAAAAGTCCAGCAGCGAACAACTGTTTGATAGCCCACAGTGGAAACTTAAGTCATTTGGCAAATGTTTTGAGCAAGTGAGTGAGTGAGTGAGTTGGGTTTAATGCCGCTTTTAACAGTGTTCCCGTTATACCACGCATGTTGGCTTAATGTGAGAGGTAAGCTTGAAGTGATGCAGGACATTTACCACTTTGGTGAAACCCATGTATGGTGCTGACAAACATAGAAACATAATCGGGGTGAACTGAGATTCGAACCCATCAAATTGTTAGTGTTACTATTACATATCATACATATACCAACTTTGTATTCATGAGAAAAGAGGAAGACTGGTCTCCGTCTCTAGTAACTTGTCTCCACTTTTGTAATTGTCGTAGATTAATGTTGCATGCCCCCAAAATATATAATGCAGCATCTTGATAAATTTGTTTTATTCCAAATGAAAATCCTTAAACAAGTTCTAAAAATATATAAAAATTGGAGTTTGTCCATTATGACAAAAAGCAAAACGTTGTCCCTTTAGGCCAGCTAACCATTTCTGAATTACCTCAATGGCAGGGATGGGACACTATTTGAAAACATTATCACGCAAGTATAATACAAAATATTGATAATTTCCATACAATCCTGTTAAATACAGAAAAAAGGCATCATGAAGTTTTATGTCATCACATAAAAATCCTGTCTATCAAAGCCATGAAAACAGGCTATTCCGGAATAGATATGCAACTTTTCATGATGAAATTTGGTAAAATCACCTTTAAGATCAGTCATTTCTCTCAATAAGAGCCTATTGTGTTAAACATATCGCTATGCACACATATGGTGATACTTACTGTCACTCCTCTTATATTTAAGGCAGTTATTTTGTTTTTTCTCAGAGTCAATGGTCGAAAATCTCAACACATTTTGAAAGTTATTTCATAAAGAAATATGATCTGCAGGTAAAATAAAAATATCAATTTTTAGATTGCTGAAATCTTCATGGACTTAGCAAAATAAAAAAAGAATTTATTGCTGAAAGTTTAATTTTATGTACCGGTAAACATTTTTTTTTTAAATTAAGGGTGGGCAGAGATGTCAACAAAGTAATAATATTAAAAAAAAAAAACCTGAAGAACCACACAAAAACAGTTTCTGAATTGCATCAGTTGAAAAATACAAGGTAAAAACAGTAAAGTGGTCTTTGCAGTCTAAAGCCAGTATGAAAAAGACAGTTGTCTACATCACTAACAAAAACAAAAGAACATTGTGAAATCTTACCCAAACCTAACAAAACATTATATTTAGTTTCAAAACAAAAAGAGCTATTGGCTCTTTTAAAGATAAATGGCTTGAAGAAACTCAACTGATGACCTTGGTGTGTGTGTTTGTACTATTTTGATGGTGAGGCACGGACCTTGGTGTGTGTGTGTTGTACTATTTTGATGGTGAGGCACGGACCTGGGTGTGTGTGTTTGTGTGTACTATTTTGATAACGAGGCACGGACCTTGGTGTGAAATTACTTCGATGTTCAAACAACTTCATCGTGAGGTCCTTGTTGGATATCACAAACGAGACCTAAAGTGTGTGCTATTTTGAGCTGTGCCTTGATGAGGACATCAGTGAGTCTTTCATGGAACATTCAGCTGTTTCAATTATACGATTTCATGGAGCATCAGGGCATTTGAGTTTTAATTCAGTTGACTAACATTCAAATAACAATTTAACATTTTGCAGTACTCCATAAAAAAATATGTCCAAGAACTATGTAGCTGGCTGTATGTTATATGCTATTTGAAAGAGTTGGAGCATCTGTTTGCAAGTAAATCAAGGTAGCTGACCTCATTAATGTTAATGTATTAAAGTCTGCTATGTACACACACTGGCACATTATACCTCAATCCAACTTCTAACCGTAATACAGCAATGTGTACTAACTTACACATGTTAACACATGCCACAAAAATTGAGGAAGAAATGGACATTGATACAAATGGAACCACAAAATCATCAATAAAATTCAAATGAAACCCATTATCATAAACAATGATTAATGTAACAAGATACATTAGACGAAGTGTCAAAACCAAAAAGAGCCATTTGCTCTAAAGCATGTCTTATGCCAATTCTCTTCATATTTGTATGTACTTGACATATGAGCAAACATAAGAAAGGATAATAGCTTGAAGAAATGCAGATGAAACAGATTTAATGAAATCAGGACACTCATCAAACTCCATTCAGTGGGAAATGGACTTGTCCACCGTATTGGGTTTCTTGCAAAATGAAGGGATATGCCTTACTTCACAAAATTATCTGCAATAACAGTGTTTCCGTTCTCCGGTAATTGCCGGTATTTTACCGATAAAAATATCAACAAGCCGATAAATATGAACGTTGTCGGCTAACATGTCCGATAAAACATTGTTTGTTTTGCCTCAATGGAACATTCCTTTGGAAAAAGTGGTCGGTCTAGGATCGGATGGTGCGTCTGTTATGACCGGGAAACACTCAGGAGTTGGGAAGAGGTTGCAGGATCATAATTCATATCTTGTGCAGGTCCATTGCATAGCCCATCTTGTCGCACTTGCTTCAGCCGATGCAGCGAAGATTTCGAAGGTCGTAGCGGAATATAGGACATTGAATGATATCTACAAACTGTTTGAATATTCAGCAACGCAATACAACAGATTGCGAAAACTTTCAGAGGTCCTTGAAGATTCTGACTTTTCAAGTTTAAAACAACCATGCAGTGTTCGTTGGCTTTCCGTGGGACGGGCGGTAAAAGCAGTGACATCTAACTGGCCAGCTCTTGTTCTCGAAATTGAAGAGGAATCTGCCAAGCGAAACAACGCTGTTGCCACGAATATTCAGAAGAAAATTCGAACGTACTCCTTTATCCGACTTCCTTACATGATGACTGACGTGCTCCATGTGATGGACAAAATTGTTACTCTTTTTCAGAGAGAGAATATCAACTTGGGCATGATTATGCCAATTGTGAATTCTACGATTGACTCCCTTGCCAGTCTAGAAAACGCCGCAGGTGAAAATGAACAGAATTTCTTGGATATTCTGAACAACGGGGAATTTTGTGGAATTCAGGTCACATATGGGGACCCGCGATCTATCAATGCGTTTGTGAAAACCTGTTGTGGGTTTATTGAGGAACTCTGTAACTCTCTGAGAAAAAGATTTCCGGATGACTCGCTTGATATCGTTACTTGTCTGGACAAAGTGCTCAACCCAAGCCGATTTCCCCAAACGCAAGAGGAACTGACAGCTCACGGAAGGGAATCCCTCGAGAAATTACTGGACAAATTCTGCCTCCCGATTGGTCCAGCTGAAAATGACATCATCAATCGCATCCGGGCGCAGCAGGACTTCACACCTTTCAAGATGGCGGTCAACAACATAGGAGCCGACTCGTTCGAACAAAGTTGCAAGACAGTTATTTCTGAACTTTCAGATATTTATCCCAGCTTTTCCACTCTGTGCTCGATAGCACTTGCTATCCCAGTTAGCAGCGTTGATGCTGAACGTGGATTCAGTTTGCAAAACAGGATACACTCTGCCAGTCGCAATCGTCTTTCCCAACAACGGATAAACAACCTGATGCTGTTGAATCTACACGCAGAAGTCAACAATACTGTCAAACAAGCTACGAAGATCTTTCGTAGAAGGAAACGCAAACTTTAATAAACAAGTCAGTATGTTTTATGTTGTATTTTATTGAATTTATTAATGACTGACAAAAATCACATCTGAATCTGAAGTGAAATATCCTTTGACCTTTTAACATGATCAATTATTCGTAATCTGTTATGATTGTTTTTAAAGAAAATACATGTACCAGAAGTTTGATCATGAACATATTCCTAAAATATGAAAAAACATAATATATGCAGTAGTTTTGGAGTTTGCAGGCTATACTTCATATTTATGACTGTTGCCATAGTGGACATTTTGAATTTTTCAAATCAAAAACCCTACTTTACTGTAGTGAGCGAGTGAGTGAATACGGTTTTACACCGCGTTTAGCAATATTCCAGCAATATCACAGCGGGGGACACCAGAAATGGGCTTCACACATTTTACCCATGTCGGGAATCGAACCCGGGTCTTTGGCATGACGAGCAAACACTTAAACCACTAGGCTACCCGACCGCCCCCTACTTTACTGTAGCTAGTTACACCGAGAACATGTACCGGACCTCCCCCTACTTTACTGTAGCTAGTTACACCGAGAACATGTACCCGACCTCCCCCTACTTTACTGTAGCTAGTTACACCGAGAACATGTACCCGACCTCCCCCTACTTTACTGTAGCTAGTTACACCGAGAACATGTACCGGACCTCCCCCCTACTTTACTGTAGCTATTTACACCGAGAACATGTACCGGACCTCCCCCCTACTTTACTGTAGCTAGTTACACCGAGAACATGTACCGGACCTCCCCCTACTTTACTGTAGCTAGTTACACCGAGAACATGTACCCGACCTCCCCCTACTTTACTGTAGCTAGTTACACCGAGAACATGTACCGGACCTCCCCCCTACTTTACTGTAGCTAGTTACACCGAGAACATGTACCCGACCTCCCCCTACTTTACTGTAGCTAGTTACACCGAGAACATGTACCCAAATGATCATAGTGATACACACAGTAGTTCAGCCCCAGACAAATTCAGCACAGAGTTACAGAATTGCAAAATTTACATTTCTGTGAAAGCAATAGCAACTTGACAGACAAATGAACATGTTTCTATATCCCCTGTCTAACTCGCCAGGTCCTTTTCTTGAAAGCTTCCACTTTATTATAAACATCTGTAGAGATTCTAGCATATATGTTGTAATAGGGAAAAACACTTTCTGATTAAGGTACCGGATCTAATACTTGTTTAGGGGTCGTGTCCCATCAGTGCTAATTACATCTATAAGACTGGTTTAAGTGTTCCAGACTACCAGTTGTTGAACTTGCTTCTTAACGTGGCAAAGTGGTACAGATCGCTGCCATTGAGTACTGTGGGTGTGATCCCCAGGTTTGATGCAACCCCAGAAGAAGTCATATAATATGTCCTTTAACGAGAAAGTAATATCCCAAATATAACTATAACATTTCGTTAAAATTTGGTAAAAGTAACTCTTTGGTCCAAGCTATATAAATAATAAATAAATATCATCAAAAACAGCCCGGGTTTGCTCATAACCTGAACACACATAGTTTTATTGCTGTAAAACAGTACTCCCCTGTTTACAATTCAGTAATTGTAAATGATTTATTGGTTGGTGGTTACACATAACTTGGCCAATGAAAATTGAGTTTACAATGTACTGCAACATGAGAAGACAATTAAAACCACACTCATTGTTGCCCGGCAACATATACCCAGTAGTTAGTGCGAAGAAGTTTTGTGAACAGTTTACAGACGGGTGGACGGACAAAGGGCCATAACAAAACCCAAGCTCACTTCGATGTCTAAAAGTAAGGACGGTAACCTCACAAAGCAGACAATGATAATGACATTACTGTTGCTAAAGACCTTTTTGTGAGTCAAAGTGAGCTTCATAATTACAATGTAAACTGTCAGGGACAAACAGTTTGACACATTTACTTGTGATTATTTATGTAATACTTAATCTGCTTCCAAGGCCGTTGCAGGAGAACAGGTTCGTTTTGACTTGCCATTTCACAGTTAAGTTTTCCTGGCAGTGATTTCAAATAGTAGAATTTTCCCAATTGTCTTTCAAAAGCTTCTCTCTCTTCTTATGACCATTTTTGATGCCTTACAGCTTGATAGACTCGTTTCTCGTTTCTTGTTTCACATGTTGTACCAGTACCTTGAACAGAAAAATCATAACTGAAAAAAACTGTACAGGGTCATGTAGGATTGGAACTTTGGGTGCTTCCTCAAGTAGATTTTAAAATCATCCTGCCATTCCCATCTGCACCTGTTTACAATCTGACAGGTGTAAGACAAAAACTGTGAAAGCAGCAAATCATTTATAATACAGCCAAGCGACATGAGCAAATGACATTTGACCAAATCAATATGGAAATATTGTTAGGTATACACAGAGACATTGTCATTATAAACCCAAAGGCTAAGTTTGATCCCATTATGTCCCTATTTCTATATGTAGGCCTTATTTCAAATTCAGCCAATCAGAAGACAAATGATTAGTAGGTAAAACTTAAATAAATGGTTTGGACTAAACACACACATTGAAATAATAAGCCCACGGCCATGTTAAAAGTTAGCCCAGCTTCAAATTGAACTAATCAAATGACATCACATATTTAATATGTAGATGGTCGAATATACATGGACAATGACAAACAAAATCTAAAGGCAAAGTGTGGTTCAATTCAGTTTATATTTACAGGTATTAGAGACACTTGGTAAATTAGGAAGACTTGAAAGTGGATGTGGCCTAATTTCAGAGCCTAATTATGAAATTAATCTGCAAAAGTGATGCAAATGTCTTCAACAAATCACCAGGGCTAAGGTTTTTTTTATGCAGAAAATCAAAGATTGTCATATGGAAATTGTCATTTTCATGTTTTGAATAAAGTTGCACCCCCTTGTGGGTGACAAAGATACACACACAATTTCACCTCAATCTATCAAGCGGTTTCATAAGTAGAAAACGTGCAAGGTTTACGGCTACCGCTGCGGGACAGAAGAGCTAAAATGATAAAATACCAGATCATAACTGGAGTTATGTGTGTATAGTATAGTCAACTTACGTGTGTCAATAGGACCTGGTCTGGCTGCGTCTTGAAGCAGGTTGAGTGATGCAGAACAGCATATAGAAGTACCGATAGAGGTATGAACTGGACTGATTGGTGGTCTTTCAGCTGGAGATCTGTCGGGGGTTTCTACTGAAGTACCGATGAATTGGACTGATCGGCGGTCTTTTAACAGGAGGTCTGTCGGGGGTCTCTCCTGACGTACCGATAGAGGTATGAACTGGACTGATTGGTGGTCTTTCAACTGGAGGTCTGTCGGGGGTTTCTACTGAAGTACTGATGGACGTATGAACTGGACTGATCGGTGGTCTTTCAACAGGAGGTCTGTCGGGGGTCTCTCCTGAAGTACTGATGGACGTATGAACTGGACTGATCGGTGGTCTTTCAACAGGAGGTCTGTCGGGGGTCTCTCCTGAAGTACTGATGGACGTATGAACTGGACTGATCGGTGGTCTTTCAACAGGAGGTCTGTCGGGGGTCTCTCCTGAAGTACTGATGGACGTATGAACTGGACTGATCGGTGGTCTTTCAACTGGAGGTCTGTCGGGGGTTTCTACTGAAGTACTGATGGACGTATGAACTGGACTGATCGGTGGTCTTTCAACTGGAGGTCTGTCGGGGGTCTCTCCTGAAGTACTGATGGACGTATGAACTGGACTGATCGGTGGTCTTTCAACAGGAGGTCTGTCGGGGGTCTCTCCTGAAGTACTGATGGACGTATGAACTGGACTGATTGGTGGTCTTTCAACAGGAGGTCTGTCGGGGGTCTCTCCTGAAGTACTGATGGACGTATGAACTGGACTGATCGGTGGTCTTTCAACAGGAGGTCTGTCGGGGGTCTCTCCTGAAGTACTGATGGACGTATGAACTGGACTGATCGGTGGTCTTTCAACAGGAGGTCTGTCGGGGGTCTCTCCTGAAGTACTGATGGACGTATGAACTGGACTGATCGGTGGTCTTTCAACAGGAGGTCTGTCGGGGGTCTCTCCTGAAGTACTGATGGACGTATGAACTGGACTGATCGGTGGTCTTTCAACAGGAGGTCTGTCGGGGGTCTCTCCTGAAGTACTGATGGACGTATGAACTGGACTGATTGGTGGTCTTTCAAATGGAGGTCTGTCGGGGGTTTCTACTGAAGTACTGATGGACGTATGAACTGGACTGATCGGTGGTCTTTCAACAGGAGGTCTGTCGGGGGTTTCTACTGAAGTACCGATGGACGTATGAACTTAACTGATCGGTGGTCTTTTAACAGGAGGTCTGTCGGCGGGTTCTGAAATGTGGAATGTTTCCATAGAATAAAACATGCACATATATCTTAAGGTGCCGAGTTATAAATATCACTATTAACAACTAACAACCATTAAAGAGAGGACCAATTTGTAAATAATATTTTAACAGTTCCTTATCGATAGACTGACACTGAAATTTAAGTACTTATGTACTTGATACATATAGATTTAACACGTTTATTGGTCTCATATAAAAAAACTCATGCTGAAAGAGGTGCATACAGGAGGTCTGTCGGGGGTCTCTCCTGAAGTACTGATGGACGTATGAACTGGACTGATCGGTGGTCTTTCAACAGGAGGTCTGTCGGGGGTCTCTCCTGAAGTACTGATGGACGTATGAACTGGACTGATTGGTGGTCTTTCAAATGGAGGTCTGTCGGGGGTTTCTACTGAAGTACTGATGGACGTATGAACTGGACTGATCGGTGGTCTTTCAACAGGAGGTCTGTCGGGGGTTTCTACTGAAGTACCGATGGACGTATGAACTTTACTGATCGGTGGTCTTTTAACAGGAGGTCTGTCGGCGGGTTCTGAAATGTGGAATGTTTCCATAGAATAAAACATGCACATATATCTTAAGGTGCCGAGTTATAAATATCACTATTAACAACTAACAACCATTAAAGAGAGGACCAATTTGTAAATAATATTTTAACA